CAGCGTGGAAATAAAGGGGGAGGAGAAGGTGGCTCCATACCATGTGCAGTACACGTGCCTACATGAGGTGAGTGGGGAGGGCCTGTCCCTGGTGCCCGGAGGGGCAGGTTGGTGAGCTTGGAGAATGACATCCTACAACGGCCAACCCAGCATGGCAATAGCTGAGGATGCTTCTGCCATGCCCTGCCTCACGTCTGTGCCTCTGCTGTAGCCCAAGAGCCTGGCTATAAAGGCACCAAGGGCTAGTATACCTTGTCCCCATCACCAGAACATCCCTTCCCCTTACAGACTTCATGTCTGAGTGCCTGTGCGCAACAGAGTGGCACGGGGGCTCTGATATAAGTGGGGGGTCAGGAATCCCCACCACTCACACCGGCCCCTAGTTTAAGCCCCCTCCACTGCGCCTCTAAGGGATCTGCTCTGTCCCCTGCCCAGAACCTCTTCCACTTCGTGACGGACTTACAAAACAGCGGGGTGGTGAAGATCCCCGATGCCAAGGGGGACGATGCCTGGAAGGTGTACTTCGATGAGACGGCCCAGGAGATCGTGGATGAGTTTGCCATGCGGTACGGGGTGGAGTCCATCTACCAGGCCATGACGTGAGTCTCTGCCCTTTTTCCCCCTGTCTATCTGAGGGTGATTAGGGAAGGGTGGGTAAATGGCACAGCTGGTGGGCCAGATCCTCAGCTGGGGCCGGGAGGGCAGCTCCATTGAAAATAGTGAGTGACACCATTTTACATCAGGCAGACATGTGGGACCTACAGAGATCCCCCTTCCCTTCTGCTTCATTAAGTGGTTGGTGAGTCACTCGGGTACCCTGGGAAGGGTCATGCTGATGTGATGGTACAGGGTTGTCTGCACCACACAGGCCCTCTAAAACCCCCAACCTGTGCCCTGCACACACAGCCCCCCACCCCATAGACCCATGCACCACATGCCTTAACTTCTACCCCCTCCTGATACATACAGCTCTTAAAGTTAACACACACAGATCTTGGATTGGCCTCCTCAGTATTGCTCAGACTGACCGATGACTCCCCTGTGACTTGGAAGTCTTGTCCATGTATCAAGGGACTGCCACCACCACTGACACACACACATGCACGCACTGCAAAGTGAACCTCATGGCCCACAGCCTACTCACACACGCCTCTTAGATGCTGTGCACACATACGCTCCATACCACCCGGCTTCCATAATACTGCCATTTACTGGGTCAGACCACAGGTCCATCTTGTGCCGTATTCTGTGTCAGTGGCAGGGAGTGGATGCTGAAAGGGAGAATGAATTAGCTATGACCGTGGTTTTTTCCACTGTTCCTCTCTCCCTTGCATCCTCTAGTATTTAAGATCTAGGAAGTTCTAATTCGGAAGCTGTATCCCTAAATCCCAGGCTCAATAGCCACTTCCATTGTACATGCTCTACAAAGCATACTGTAATACATCATTGTATACACCCATTTACCCCCATATAGCCCCTTCCAACATCCCCCAGTGTACACTGAATGCATATATACACCCTCCCTACACTTCTCTGACTCATCCACACAACATACTGTCTCTACACTACGCCCTGTGTACACCTCACCTAGACCCCTCTCACACGTACAAACCTCACCACACCATTTGTGAAACAGCTCCAGCAGCCTGGACCCTGTGCGGCCTCAGTGCACTCAACCTGCAGGAAGTATTTCAGCCTCTCATCCCTTTCCTTTCAGCCACTTTGCCTGCCTGTCCTCTAAATACATGTGTCCCGGAGTGCCGGCGGTGATGAGCACCCTGCTCGCCAACATCAACGCTTACTATGCACATACCACTGCCTCCACCAACGTGTCTGCCTCCGACCGCTTTGCTGCTTCCAATTTCGGGGTAAGTCCTATGGTGCGTAAAACTCTCTTTCCTATTTCTCTCTTCTCTTTGGGGCGGGGGTGCATGGTAGATAGAGCCGTGCAAAGACACCGCCACCCGAAGGCGGATACTTCCAATTGGACCATCCCATTAAAAACAACAGGCTATCTTTCTTGGAAAATTGGCAGCAATTTGGCTTGAATGCACACAATTTTGCTTAAAAAGAAAAAAAAAAGCCAAGTGTGACATTTGTGAAATTAGGCCCATTTGTGCCCTGCGGGTGGCAGTCACTGGGAAAAAATACGTTGAAATTCACACATTTGAAGCCAAATCTTTTTTTTTTTAAGCCACTCACGGAGCAAAAAATGTCACCGTCGTCACCTGCAGACAATCAGCAGCACTTTTGCCAAAATCCCATGGGAATTTTGCACGGCCCTGGTAGTTCTGGATGGAACCTGAAGCCAGAACAAACTTGTCTGGTTTTGTGGGTCTGGATGGATCCCCAAACTCCCTGTCACATAGCCAGTTTGGACACTTGCTGGGGGACTTTTGCCTTATGGCCCCAGTCCTACTGAGATTATTGCACCGGCTTCACTTTACGCATGCTGAGGGGCCCTCTTGATGTCTGGGAGAACACTCGCGTGTGTAAAATGAAGTGTGTGTGTAAGTGTCAGTAGGGATGGGACCTAAGGCCAGAAGCAAAACCAGGAAAGTTTCCACAGGTGACAGGTTAATGCCATCACGGGGTATTGTTGAGTTAAAGTGACAGGCCTTGTCTCAGTCTTGGATTCACCAGCGTAATTCTGGAGTAACCACACCAAAGTCCATGGGTTTTCTCTGGATTTACACTGGTGTAACTGAGCTGAGATCCCAGCCCTCTTGCTGTCCAAAAAACACTCTGGTGTATTAAACCTACACCATGCTAATCTTTGAGGCCAATTCTTAACTTTTCTTTGCTTCGTTTCTTCCCAGCTTGAACAGTGAAAACCAAGTAGCCAGTTGCACATGTGTTTCTAGTCAGCATCTAGGTGCCTTCGTTTCCTGTTGCCCATGCGTTGTCTGTCTGTCCCTGTGCTGGAGGGTTTGGGTTATCGACACAGCAGGGGGATGCCTAGAGTCAAGTAAACTGTATTTCCGAGTCGTGAAAAGTTTTTCTCTTGATCTTTAGGGTTTGTAAAAACTTTTTTTTCTTTCTCTTTTTTTAGAGAGCCTAAATTTGGGCCCTAAAGTACCCGACAGTGTCGCTTTACCCCACTGTGTTACCCAGCGTGCCTGTCATGACCAGTTTTAAGGCGTGCTGCAACTGCTCTGTTTCGGGGACGTGCATCTGTGCACTCTGCACGGTCTCTGCAAAAACTGGTCTTACTGTCTCTTGCAGGCAAATGATACGAAGGTTTGCGGTAGCAAATGCAGCCTGTGGGCTAGCCTGAGCTCACACCAAGAGGAGGTGCACCGCTCTGGGCGTCAGTCTGTGCCCAACACCTGACTTTCTGATGTAGTCCCCATGCCTTCACCCCTGCAGCAAGGGAATTACCATGTCCCTCCTGCTCCAGCCTCCCTTGGCATGCTGTGACCCAGTGAATGTCCCACTGTTTAAGGGGCTCATTGCCTTCTTGCCTCTTCAGGGGGACAATGTCACCCTCTCACTCCTGTGGGCCTAAACCCAAGGTGTGGGCCTAAGGAAGACTTTCTGGCTTCCTTGCACAGATGTGTCATTGGTCACACATGGAGCAGAAATCAGGGCCAGAGGGGACTGAAGACCATCCCCTCCTGCCAGGCATGAACGTATCCTTGACCTAGGCCCAGTTCTGCCTTGAGGTGCTGAGAGCACTCAGGGCAGCTGGCATTTCCCAGCAGGTGCTCAGTACCGGACAGAATCGGGCCCTTTGTTATACTGGGCCTGGAAAAGCTGCCAGTACCAATAGGCAAAACTGGAGCAGTTGCTTCTCTTAGTCAACCTGCAGAGCTGGGGGAGAATCAGGCCTGCACCAAGGGCTGCCACAGGTGAAGCAGGGCCACAGCACCGACTGTGACCTGTAGCATCCGATATGCCCTTTTGTGCCAGGGTGGGTAGCCACAGAGACTTGGGTCCCTGGCAAAGCCCTTTGCAGGGAAGATAGTGGGATTCCCATTGTGTGACAGGCAGATGTCTCCAGTGACTGCTGGTCCTGGTGTACAGGTCCAGGGTCATGCTGGAGGAGGACAGCACAGCTCCTGAACGGGAAAGAGCTAGGCAAGCTCTGGCAGCCCTCAATGGGGAGCCGTGGAGTCTGCTTTGAGCCTTTCCCCACCCTGGCTGGCAGCCGAGGCAGCTTTGCTCCCTTTGTATTGAGTGTGGCTGGCACGTGGGGAGCTGCGAAGCCCTGGGCTAACCCTGAACACTCTCGCTGAGAGCCCCTCCCTGGGGCATACATTGAGAGTGACTCCTGTGGAGTCAGCTACCCAAGGGGACCCGTATGAGTGCTAATCCAGAGTCACTCCTGAAGTGGATTAGCTAAACCGCATTACACTCCTTACAAAATAAATTCCACGTCGGTTAAATCACTTTGGAAACGAATTGAACGACTGCTCGGTTAGAACGCCCCCACGTGCAGTTTAACTAAACCACTGTCGATGTGCAGCTCTAGTTCATTCAGAGTCCCTTTCCCACGTGGCCCTGTGCAGATGCACTCAGAGTAGCGTGGATTTAACTAATCCACTGTCGATGTGCAGCCATCAGCCTCGCCTCAGGAAAAGCTCCTGAGCTGTGTGCGGTGGCCTGGCCCCCGTCCTTGAAGAGATGCCGTCTGGTCTGCAGTTAGCATCCCTAAGGGAGAGGAGGGACAGACTCAGCTGCCCTAGGAAGAGGATCCTCTGTGGAGGCTGCTGGATGCAGACAGCCCCTGTGGTTCTCTCTAGCTCCCAGCCTACGTTGCCTCCCATTGCAAGGCAGGTCTCACTGCCAACGGGGAGTGGCCTGCTAACTAGGCTGCAGTTTGCTCCAGACCTTATGTTCATGTCTAAACCTTTCAGTTGACTGTACCAGAGAGATGTTGGCCTCTCTTCCACTTCTTCCTCCCATCACAGTCCTGCTGAGACCCAGCCCAACTGTAGGCACTGTTCATGCAGGGGGGAGCTACAACTGGGGAAGAGGGATCAGTACTGTCAGTCCTGTCAGCCTTGCTCTGAGGATGGGGTAATGGGGGGAGGTAGGAAAGCCACCTTGGATGCCTTTCCCCCATTTACCTGGCCCCGGGGTGTGTCTCCACAGAAAGAGCGCTTCGTCAAGCTGCTGGACCAGCTGCACAATTCGCTCCGGATTGACCTGTCCATGTACCGGGTAAGGGAAGCAAAACCCACATGGGGCAGCGAATGCTTGGGAAAATCTACCCCTCGTGGGAGTAGTGTGGTCATCCCAGCCTTTCTCAGTCAGGGGGGCGGTGGAATAAGTGTTGAACCACAGGCTCAAAGCAGGTCTGCTTCCTGGTTTGTGTCTTGGGAGTCATCACGCAAAAGTTCAGTCTCGAGTCCCCATTCTTCACCAAACTAAAACATCACCATGCTGCAGTGGGGGCTGCTGATAGCTCAGGGACCCATGCAGTTGCCCAGTTCACACTGCCTACACCTGCTCTGTGCTAGGTACCACTGCCTTCCCACCACAACATGTCTCCTCATCCTTCCAGCAAGCCTCCCAGCTGTTCCCCAATCTCCTGTGGCCTCTTGTGCAAGCAAACACCTTCCAAGTGTCCAGAGCCTGCCAAGGAGTCAGAATGGCCCGGTAGATAAGATGTAGATTGGGGTCAGGAGATGTGGGGTCCAGCAGGCTCCATGCCAAGTGTGGGGAGGATTATCAGCCTAGCTGTTAGCTCTGTGGCCATGCCCAGCTGGGCGCTTCCTGCCCATTGAGACCTTCTTGCTTTTGTATTCATCATGGGGCCCTCCGCTTTTCTTTCCTATCTGACAGAATAACTTCCCTGCCAGCAGCCCTGAAAGGCTACAGGATCTCAAGTCGACAGTGGATCTGTTAACCAGCATCACCTTCTTCCGAATGAAGGTAATGGCCAGGGCCCAGGTCTCTGGTTCCCTGCCCACGTGGGATGAAGAAAGACCTCCATAGCTCACAGAGGAAAGCAACTCAGCCTTGACCCTCTGCTTCCCTGTTGGGGAGCTGTGGGTGGGCCATGCCAGGGGCTGATATGCAAGTTGATTTGCTTAATTAATTGCTCGACATTTGAGGGGGCAGGCATCTGTCTTAAGAAATGGCCTGTGCAAAGCATTTCCTTGTCTCTCTTCCCGGTTCTGCAGGTCCAGGAGCTACAGAGCCCTCCCCGTGCCAGCCAAGTAGTGAAGGACTGCGTGAAAGCCTGCCTCAACTCCACCTATGAATACATCTTCAACAACTGTCACGAGCTGTACAGCCGGGAGTACCAGACAGATCCCGTAAGCAGGGCGGGTGGGAGAGCTGGTCCTGGACCCTCCATGCAGAGCTGCCATGAAGAGTTCTGCTCATGCAGCAGGAAGAGGGAGGCCGCACCAGGCCTTTGCCGTGACCTGCTGCATGGGGCATTTATGATGCCGACTTCTCCACTTTCCTTCCTCCCTCCCTCCCAGTAGCCTTACTCTGACTTCCTGCCCCCCGCCCCAGTCTTAGTGGCCATGATCCTTTTAGATTAGCAGCTACCCTTGCTATGCCTTTGGATCCAAAGCAGAATTCAGGTGTTGGTGCCCTGGCCTTGGAAAACACTGTGTCCTCCTTTGCTGTACACCCACTTTAAGGATCTGGTTCCTTTCCAGTGCTCAGGTGAGGCTCAGTAGGAAGCTGGGACTCCTGGTAGGTGGACTCCTGGAAAGGGAACCCAGAAAGGACTCAGTCCTGCAGGAAATCAAGGGATGCAACCGGGAGTTGAGAGCAACTCCACTCCTTGCAGTTTGGGGCCAGAGTCTCAAGGCTTCCTATATGGAGCAAGACTCAAGGATTCCTGACTGGGGCAGGACTCAGAAATGTGTACAGGGACATGGGCCTGTATGGGCCTGAACCTAGACTGGATCCAGACCTGTGTCCGTCAGAAGCAGTCCTGCCTTGGCCATCAGGGAATGAGCTGGGAAGGAACAAGTAGGTTTGGGTCTATCTCTAGTGCCCAAGCAGAGGGGAATCTGAGTCTAGAGACCACGTTGTGACCCCGTGATAACAGTCCCTGAGAGCAGCTGGGCTGTTTTCACACCTGTCTTTGACCACAGGTTTCCCCTTCCTTCTATTTGGGCTTTTCTTAGACAAAGAAAGGTGAGGTGCCCCCTGAGGAGCAGGGACCCAGCATCAAGAACCTGGATTTCTGGTCCAAACTCATCACGCTGATTGTCTCAATTATTGAAGAGGATAAGAACTCCTACACGCCCTGTCTGAACCAGTAAGTACCTGCATGGGGAGGGCAACATCTCCTCTGCTCCCCATAAAGCATGTGGGGAGTTGAGAGAGTCACAGAGCCTCTCACCTTAACCGGGGGGTGTCAGCAAAGCTGAGAGCTGAGGTGGCTGGAGGATGCCACACTGGGAGCTCCACCGTAGGAGCCCCAAGAAGCCAGCACATGGGGGCTTCCTTCTTTCCACTTGCACTGAATCCCCCAGGAAAGACAGAATTCACAGGCACATCCACGTGCCCCTGCAAGCGCTGGCAGGGGACCAGCTTCAGGATTAGAAAATGTTCTTAGTGCCATGGAACAAACCCAAACCCTCTTGGCTCTCATGGAGCCAGATTGGGCTGAAGCGAGCGTTGTCCAATCAAAATCACCAGATTTTCTCATCTCTCTCTGGTCCTTGCTCAGAAAATAACCCCTTGACCCATGAGAGCTCCTGGCTGGCAGCTGCCTCAAAACTGCCACGTCTTTCTGGCAAAACTGTAGTTTCTGACCAAAGAGTTGCTTAGTCAGAGCTATCCCAGCTGGCTCCTCCAGAAAGGGAGTGCTCTGTGCCAGGCCCTGCGGCTTGGCATTGATGCAGCGCCTGGGAGGGAAGACACTTCCAGCATGGGGCATCTGAGTCAGGAGCTGGAGAAGGAGGGGCAACTGGCTGCCATTCACACCTCATGGGACGATTCCTCTTTGGAAAATGCCAGAGATGAGGGCTGGGTGGGACAGACAGTACAAAGAGCCAGGAGGCACTGTCTGTTAGAAATGAGCCTTGCCACTGGGAGGGAAGGAAAAAAATGCCTGTTTTATAGGAAGCCTCGAGAGATGAAGTGACTTGTCCCTAGGCTAGGCTACACAGCAAGTTAGGAAGTTCCTGGGAAAATTACCCAGGAGTCCAGACTCCCAGTCGTGCCGAGCACTGATTCTCCATGTGTCGGTGTGGATCTGGTGCTGTCCATACCATGTCAGGCTGGGAAGATGGTAAAGCCCCTCTGCCTGCCTTTAGGGAGCTTCTCCCTTCCGATCTGCCCAGCTCCGTGCCTGTCCCAGTAGCATAACTGCGGGGGAAAATTGAAACAGCCATTGTCACAGCCATAACTGGTGCTGCCATGGGCACAGCTGTGCTGCGACACCGCTGGCTTGTGCCATGCCCAGGGAATAAGTCACCTTCCCTGTGCCCTACCTGTTTGGTGCTGACTGGATGAGCACAGAAAAGCCCCAGGTGCCCACATCTGTACATCTGTGCTCTCCTTGGGACATGGTGACACCCGGGCGACCAGCTTTCTCTCCCCTTGAAGCAGCTGGGTTGGAGTTTTCTTCTCTACCTGCTGTATTCATTTAGTTTTCCTCCTTTCCTTTAATCGCTGCCAGGTTCCCCCAGGAGCTGAACGTGGGCAAGATCAGTGCTGAAGTGATGTGGAACCTCTTTGCTCAGGACATGAAGTATGCAATGGAAGGTGAGTCTCCCCTTGGCTGCATTTGCCTCTTGGCAGGGGGGCACCAGCTCAGCTCATGCTAGGGTGGGGAAAATGGGCCACCTAATCATGACAAAAAGCCATGACCACTCACAGCTGGTCCTGAGCCTCCTTGCATTAGCAGTGGAGCTGAAGCACAGTGCCTCCCGCTCCAAAAGTCATACCCCAGCTGATGAGGTAAAGGAGAGTCTTTGCTAGCAGTACAGGCCCCATGCCACGCAGCTGCACAACTCTGATGCCATCCAGCAGGGGGTGGTAGTGGCATACGCAGTAAGGCAGCTCACTCCAATCCTGAAGAAGCAGCATCGGGCACTAAGCTGAGGGCAGAGCAGAGGGCTGGAGGGAGGGGGAATAGGCCTTTCTGTTGATGTTGAGGGGAGCACCTGACAGTCCTGCTCTCTGCCCCCCTCCCAGAGCACGACAAGCACCGCCTGTGCAAGAGCGCTGACTACATGAACCTGCACTTCAAGGTGAAGTGGCTCTACAACGAGTATGTGACCGAGCTGCCTTCCTTCAAGAGCCGGGTGCCTGAGTACCCTGCGTAAGTCCTGGTGCGGCAGCAGGTCATTGCAAAGAGGGGCTGTCTCCATTGCTAGAGTGTTAGTGAGGTCCCAGCAGGAGGGTGCTACCCTGGGGTGATTGCTGTTGCCTGGCCTCTGCACTCATCCTGGCGATGCTGCATGGCTGTTTGCACACCCATGTTGAAGGTGAGGAGTGGGTGGGGTGGGGGGCACACAGGTTGCTAATTAATACGTGTGAGACCAGTTTAAACCATCTGCTGCTGGACTGAAGCATTGTGTAAGACACGATCTAGGACTGGGATTTCACTCTCAGACCCTGGAGAGGGAGGAGGATAAGATAGAAATGAATGGAGGAGCCAAGGGAGCTGTTAATATTTCTTACGCTCCCGAGTCATCAAAAGAGGCACCTCCTCCTCCTCCGTTTTCTACGTCAGCCCCTTTCATCCCATTTCCTGCCCTCCCCTGCTTCCCTTCCCCACGAGAGGTATGGCAGGAGCCAGCAAGCCCCATCCTTGTTGGGCTCCTGGCCTCCTGTGGGCAGCAGGGGGTTCGTTCCAGAGGAGCACGGTGCCTTTAAGACCGCACTGACCATACGAAGCAGTTTCCTTCGCATTGAGAGGCAGCAGAGGGGCACTGGGATCAATAGCTCTTTATAGATAATTAAATGGCAGGGGCTGAAAGAGCTGGGCCTGCCTCCCAGCTGCCACATTGATCCTCCCCCGTGCCGCGGCATATTGGATGTGTGGAGCAAACTCAGCCAGGGTAGCGGAAGGTGGAGATGGCTCTCTGGGAAGCGGAAAATCAATAGCAGTCTGTTCTGGGTCTCTGCGAGTTGGCTTCCCACACAGCCCTGATTCCCCTCCTGTTGCTTTCCTACTGAAGAAAGCACCATGTGAGATGCCCCTGTCTCAGCCAGGATCCTGAGGGAGTCACTGTGCTGTCTTGCTCTGATTTGCTTTCCTTAGAAGTCAGTGCTTGCTTTCGTCCAGCCACTAAAGGATGTGTGTCACCAGCACATGGGTATTGGAGCCCCAGGGCCCTGGGCAGTTGAGAACAGAGCCAGGCACCTCCCAAATTCATGGCACCCAGGGTTTGCCCCTCTCTGGCTGACAGCAGGGCTGAGGGGCAGTCACACATGTGCTCCCCTCTCATAGATGGGGCATCTTGGTGAGTGCTCAGCACTTTAGGCAGGCACCTGGCGACGTAGCAGATGGTCCCGACAGGTCAGGCTGAATTGAGGCTGAAGGCCATAACTGAATGAGCCTAGGCACAGAGGCCTGGTTCCCCTCTTTTTCCACCTGGTGTCGGTCAGAAATAGCTCCACACACACGGCCGGGCACGATTCTCCTCTTGCTCACATTGAGCGTCAGTGCAGCTGCCCCGAGTTATCCAGGTGTGAACGATGAAACAGGCTTGGTGGGACTGGGGGAGGCAGGCAGCTGAGGAGGAGTGGTCCAACAGGCTTGGCGGCAGTGGCACCAAGCCAGACCTGGCGCTGGATCCCCGAGAGCATCTCTGGCGCAGGACGTTGCCTCTCCCTCTGCGCAGTCTGTCTGGGAGGACGGGGAGGATGCCCTGTGGGGGGATTGCCCATCGCATTCAACCGGCTCAGTTTCCCTTCTCTGGCTTTGGGTTGTTGGAGCATGCCGTGCCCCCAAGGATCTCTCTGCTCCCCTGCCTGCACCTTCCCTGTCTTTCCCTTCCAGGTGGTTCGAGCCTTTTGTTATCCAGTGGCTGGATGAGAACGAGGAGGTGTCCCGGGATTTCCTGCACGGAGCACTGGAGAGGGACAAGAAGGACGGGGTAGGGACAGAGCTGACAAGTGGCACTTTACACATTACCCCCCCCAACACACACATACCCTTCCAAGCCTGACTCCCCACTCATGCTAGTGGGGCATGAGAGTGGACCCTAGGATTCCTGCCCTGTGTCCGGGGCCTGTGTTTTATATACAACCCTGAGATCCACTCAAGGTCTCTTTTCTTACAAATGGGCTGGATTTGGCCAAATCCTGACATGCCAAAGCCACCACCAGCTTTGCAGACAGCATAGCTATTCCACTAGAAACTGTATCCGTGGGGATTAGAAGCCATCAATCCTCCTTGCCTGCCTTGCCTTGGAAAGGCGAAGGGGCTTTGGTGCCAGGTAATAGGCACTTTAGCGAAAGCAGTGATAGATGGGGACAAGATCTGATGCAGCCTGGGCCCCTGGACAGGAGCAAACCCCATGCCCCAGAAATCAGAGCTAGTTCCTCACTGTTTGAGGCCAGTGCTAATGGGGTCTGGCGGGGCCATGTGGTGAGAGGGAACCTCAGAGTGTTATTTCCAATCATCCACTCCAATGAGAAAACAGCAAGAGGCTGGTAAGAGCCAGCCAGGGGCTTGGAGATGTGGCTTATAGTCCCAGTGGACTGGGCAAGGCTGAGAGAGGACCCCTGTGGCATCTCAGGGGGAGCAGGGAACAGAATCAGGAGCCTGGACTCTGTTGGGTACCTGGGATGGAGGCAAGATGTGTGGGCAAAGCAGCTGGGGCAGGTTCTAAAGCCCCTGTTCCCTCCCTGGGACATAGGGATGTGCCTGGAAAGTATCCCATCTTTTATGTTCTGCTTCTCTGTTTGCCACCCCAAAACGCCCCGCCTCAGTTCCAGCAAACGTCTGAGCACGCGCTCTTCTCCTGCTCCGTGGTGGACGTCTTCTCCCAGCTGAACCAGAGCTTTGAGATCATCAAGAAGCTGGAGTGCCCTGACCCGCAGATTGTGGGACACTACATGCGGAGGTTTGCCAAGGTAGGGAGTCCAGCAAGGGAAGGGGTGGGGTAGGTTAGTCCTGGTCCGGCGCAGTCCTTGTTGTGACTGTCCCTGCGTCCCGAGGAGCAGAGATCCCCAATCTTATAGAACAACAGGAGCAAAGGCCTTGGTTAGACCAGCTTCCCACTCAACCACCCATGCTCTGCGGCTGCATGGTTGTAGGTGCCCCTCACCTTAACCTCTCTGCCACAGATGCAGGGCACTTGGGATGGCAGTGTCCCCATGTAGAGAAGAGAGAGGACTGAGCTGTAACGTCTGCAAAGATGACATTCAGCTGAGGCTGCTGAGCCCAGATAGGCCTGGGGGCTCCTCTCAGCTGTCTAGCTCCTAGGTGACTCCTAAATTGGGAGTCCCTCCACTGACTTCCATGGACTCACCCCAGTGTGGAAGGTCGAGCCTTGCTTGTATGGTCTAGTGAAGCCAGCTCAGCTCCCTGTGTCCCAGCCAGGGCTAAGCAGCTGTGGAGTGAGCGCATCATGCTGGGGTGGCGGGGAGGACAGGAGGAGTGGGCAGCAGAAGGTGCCAATTAGGACAACCAGTGTCCCGGGCTAGCTGGGGGTGGCTGCGCCAGAGGGCCTCCTGCCCAGGGTCTCAGCTCTGCCTCTGCAGCAGCACGGGAGGTGCAGAAGGGGAGATCCATGTCATGTCTACCAGAGTTGTGGGGGACCATGAGTGGGAAGTGGGGGATGATGTATCCACCAGAAGCTCTGGAGCATCATGAGCAACATGAACAGAGACAGATTTGCTCTGCTCCAGGACCTCTGTCCCATGTGACTGTCTGAGGCTGCCTGGGCTGAGGCCAACATGGAGACAGGATTTCAGACTAAACGAATCCAGCTGTCACAGTCTTGCTTCCTTCTGCTTCTCTTCCCTTGCTGTCCTGTCCTGTCTCCTCTTCCTGCTCTCGCTGCTCCTTCATTCCTCTCTGCCCATGCCACCTGCCTACAGACCATCAGCAACGTGTTGCTGCAGTACGCTGAGATCATCTCTAAAGATTTCGCCTTGCACTGCTCCAAGGAGAAAGAGAAAGTGGTGATGTATCCTCCTCCTCCTGCTGCGTCTCCCTTCTCTCTTACCCTCTGATTGGCCCTGCCTGGTGGGGCCAGCTCCTGGCTTGCTGTCTCCACACTGCTAGCCGGCACCACCATTAGATCCCTCCAGGAATCAAGGAGAGCCCCTCTCTGCAGTGCCTCAGGCCCTACCTACACCCCCTGCTCTAGTTTCTCCATTTCTTGAGAGCAGGATAAATCTCTGCCACTGGGGAGCTGCTCCCAGGTCCTCTGGGACTCTAGGGCACCTCACCCCACTGCAAATCCCTGCAGTGCCCCTTGCCTTAGAACAGGATCCAGCTCCAGACCTGGACCAAACAGCTGAGATGCAGGGGACCTTGGAGCTGTGCTGGTTTCTGGACTTGGCAGCTGGTCCCCTCTCTTTCCAGGGGGCTGAACTTCAGTTCCCACAGTTACTCACCCCAAGACTTCAAGGAGCTTTGGATCTGCACCAGGCCTGGGCTCCCACTTGGCAGCAACCAGCCAGGGAGATGGTGTACATTGCCCCTGGAATATGCACACATTCATTGACATTCATTCTTGGGCACCAGCTCCATCCTTTAGAAACAGCCTGGCTTGCCCAGGCACACAAACCATGCCACACAAATCA